ACTCAGGATTGGTTTTAGAAGCTGACAGGAATTATTTAATGTTTTTTTAGACTATTCTGTAAGACTTAAAGTATTTTCCACTACATCCTCTCGAGCACTTGAAGCTTTTCCTCTATGCCTACTTCTAGATCAGAGGTGGACTGTGACCCCGTTGGGCAATAATGAGCTGTGACTGGTTTGCTATTTCCTGACTTAGGCATTTTAAAACAGCGATTCAGCAACTGATTGAGTCAAATAAAATGTATAGAAGGACTGCCATCTATTTTCAGCTTTTAACCCAGGGTTTTGACATTTCTAAAAATAATGTTTTCTAGTGAAATTATTAATTGCCCCTGTGTGAAGATTATAAAAATTTTTCCTGAAGATGCATTCAAACTTCAGAATTTGCTTCAGCTGCATTTATATTCTTTTGGTGTTTATTTTCTACCAACCACATTTTGCTCCCAGCATAACTGATGGCAAGTGAAATAAGTTCACATGCTCAACTATTCACATCGGAAGTGATGGATTTTATAGGGGACGAGACATCAATAGGTCAGGTTTCCTCAAGCCATTAAACAGGGCCCAGGTACAGAGGCAATTAAGTAAAACATATACCAATCTGACCACATTCCTAGCCAGGAACCAGATGCACAAGTGATTATGTGATGTCAGTCACTAAGGTGCTGACAAAAGTTACAATCAGCAATGCAATAATGCATCAAGCACATTTTATATGGGATTGGAAACTGTTTATTAACAAGCAGGGGAGTAGCAGGGTCATACATGGTAAGAGAAGGAATACGTTTATACTCTGCTTCCAGCTAATAAATTTTATAGCAGCTTTAATATTTTTAGGTATGTTGCTGAAGGGAAGTGTTATGAAACCAAAAAAGAAAGATTTTAAAGGCTCTAAAATGCTATAATCCAATGTTTATTAGAACTTTGTTTTAGTGGGTTGCTTTCTCTGAAATAGGCTCACAGTTATACCTCCTTGTAATGTGAATTAAACTCATCTATCTGATCAAGGAAAATAAGTGTTTTATTAAAACTAGGACTGATTAATCAATAGAGCTCACATTTCAGAAATAATTTAGCAAATATTTCGCTAGTGGTCAGAAACAATACTTGAACTGAAGATGAAAAATGAAGAGAGGTCTATTAACTGTGATATTGGATCAAAAGCCTGAGCAGCCTCCATCAGAAATTCAGGTTAAATTTATCAGAGGCATTATTTATCTTTAGGTGCTGCAGCTTACCCAGCTCCATGTACTTGCTGGGATTCCTGTGGAGTGGGGATGAGATGCCTGAGCAATCTTTTCTCAGCTGCTTCCCAACACCAAGATGTTCAGCAGCATCTGCTCCATTGTCACAGTGGCCACCACAGATGTCCACGTCGTCGGTCCCAATTCCTGTGCCTCCAGGGTTTTGTCTGATGATTCCAGTGGGTAGCCTGATGATTCCAGTGGCTCAGGCCATCCACGTGTACAAAAATTACTCTTTCCTAGAGTAGGGGCCTAGAAGAAAGTACCCTTCAGGTTTATGCAGGTTAGAAAATGTCCTTGGATCTAGAGTTACCTGGCAAGTATTAAGAGTTGGGCATTATAATTATTTTAGCGCTAGTGATTAAAAGGGTTCTGATGCCATTAAGATTTGTACATAAACATTTTCTTTTAGTAGTATCTTTATCTGCACCTTAATGCCAAGCATGCTGTTGTTTCTCCGTATTAGTTGTGTTACAGATACTTGACTGCTAGTTTCACTTTCTATTAATTGTGTGTTCTGCTGTTGGGGTTCATAAATGGCAGTGAATGATCTTAAATTCAAATAACATATGATGTTCAATTTAAGCTCAAAATGAATTTCTTTTGTTGATCTTCTTGTTTTGTTAACCAATTTTTCAGCAAAATCTAAATTTGTGTCCTTTTAAATAGTCCTTTGCAAACTAGCTGGTAAGACTGTAACTTTTGAATTAAGAAAGTAACTGCCAATTTCTCTGGAGTTTGGTGGGTCTGGCTATATGTTTGATTTTTAAAGACAGGGCATTTCTTTTCTTTCTATGAATGACTGGACCTATGGATCCACTGCCTTTATTTTAAAATTAATCCCACACATCCTTCAGGCCTTGGAAATAGCGAGGCTTAGGCTGCAGAGTCAGGAATCTTTTATATTCACCAGTTAGTCCTTGGAGCTGCTAGGCTATAAAAGTTCTCTTCTGAGATCTGTATCACTGGGAAGTTGATGACCTGGGCTACAAGGAGGGCTCCTATAATTGTGCCATGATGTCGTTTAAAAGTATTGCATCTGTGTTTGGGAAAGAAATAACGTAATTTTATTTGAAGTTCTGGTCATTCCAGAATGTCTGTGTGATCAGAGTCATGTAGGTATAGCTTAGGTAGCCATGCCTGCTCTTTCTGATTTTGTGACATTTCAAATACAAAATGTGTACAGGCATGCAATAAAAAGTTTTGTTCATCAGCCTGCAGAGACTTCCTTCATCTCTTACCATTCACTGACTCTGATATCTCATGTACTTACTAGGTGCAGTTCTCATAGCTTTCAGGCAGTGGAGCTCTTCAGGTTTTATTTAGCTTTAAAAGTTATTACTTGCCAAATTCAGGCTGGCCTCTTCTTACCCTTTGTGAGAAGCAAATGCTGTGAAAAGTTGGTATCCCTTTCTGTGTGCCCTGCAGACTCCAAGCACGTCTGTCTCAGCAGATGCTCCTCTGGTAAGCAAAGGTTCTCTCTACAGATAGCCCTGCTGGAAATGTGGGCAGCAGGAAACTGGCTCCTGTTCATCCAGTGGATGATGAGAACAGGGGGGCTGCAGTGGGGCAGTGTGAATTTCAGCTTTCCAAAGATGTCAGGGAAGAGGTTGCTTTTTGATTTGTCGCACTGTGATTTAACAGCTTGCCCTATATGCTTTGAGCCACCAAAAGGACTGCAACAATTTTCTGCTTCTTGAAAAAACTAAATTTTAGTGTGCAGCCCCAATCCTTATCCTATTCCTTGAGATAAATATTCTGGTTGTAAAGACAAAGCAAAATCCAGTCTAGAGGCTGTGCAAGGATAGAAATTAAAGAAGCTCTCAGTCTCTCAAGTGCTCTGACTCCTGCTAACCTGCTGACAGCTGATGGGCAAGCTTTGCCCTAGCAGGTTTTCTGATGCTGGAATTTCCATCCCTACATGCCCATTATATTCCCTGGTGAGCAAGTGGAATATTGCATTTTTACTGGGAGAATCTGTACGTGAAGTTGAGGACCCAAGCCTCCCACAAAGTCTGCCAATAAGACCTGGGGCAGACTCGTTTTTCTTGGATGGTCTCTTGAACTGGAAATGAAGATACAAAATGAGCTTACAGAGAGATGGAAAGGATGAAGGTCCAAGTGCTTGTCTGTAGGATGTTTATGTGGTGACATTTGTAAAGATATTTATTTTTATTTTATTTGCAGAGGTATAAGAACCAGTGTATCCAATCAGAGTGCTGTACAAAAGGCCCGGAAGGCCTCCATCTGCTCCCCAAAATGCCTACAAATGAAGACACAGCTGCCCTCTCATGAATCTAAAGCAAGCTGAAGAGAAACTGGAATGGAAGCTGGAAACTGGCGAAATACCTGAGTGGTCAACAGGCAGCTGAGAGAAGCAACACTCACATCCATCCTTTCATTTACTGAACCTGACCACTGGCAAAATAAGTTTCAGGCACTGTAAACTGAAGCAAGAGGAGGTGAAGAAAGCATTCAAGAAGGCAAGAAGAAGCTTGTCCTCCTCACATTTTATGTCAAATACTTTTCTGGTATGTCACAGTCACACACAAAGAACAAAGCTGAAAGTATCACAGTCAAGAATATTTTAAGAAGCAGAGTTCGACTTGTATCCAGTTTATCATCTTACCTTGCATTTATTAACAGAATATTATGGTTTAGGAAACATATGAGCATGGGCATGGATAGTCTGCGACCCTAGAAGATCTGTGTGATCAGTCAAGGATCCTTGACAACCTTCCACAGCAGTGCTGCTGGCTGGTGTTTTTGCATTTCTCTCATTGCTACAACCACATCTATATTAACAACATTTTCATGCCATTGAAAGAGACTCTTTCATATTTTCTGTTCCTGGGCTAAACGGATTACTGCTGAATTTGAATAACTCCAATTGTTTTCACTTTGTTTTGTGGCATTGTGTTCAGCAATAATTAATATCTCTGTACCTTAGGTTTCCTCCAGATGCCTGCTGTTAAATTAATGAGTCTCCTATTTGGAAAAGCTTGTTGGAACCACTGCAGTGGCCATTTTCTCTTGCACTGGGACACTGTGGAAGCTCTCCTTCCTTGCTTTACAGCAAGGAGTATGCCTGCAGGCTTTTCCATTGCTGTTCTGTTAGTATTTGTTAGCAGTGATTAACCTTAAAAAGGTAAGGACTGTGAATGCTTACCAAAAAACTCTGTGGTAAGGAAGTTTTTTGAAGACAGTTGGCAGCTTTCCACACTAATTTGTTCCACACTAGTTTTTTCCACTCTAAAATGTAACCTGTAGAGGTATTTGATGCAGACAGCAAAAGCTGCTGTGCCAAGTGTGCGGTAAAGGTGGATCTGCAGAGAGGGAGAGGAAGGGCTGGTCAGGACTCCTATATGAACCTTCCTCCCACCTCCTGCTGAGATTCCCCTCCACTTCTGGTTTTGAGGAGATAATCACTAATCAAATCAGGCAAAATCTTATTTCTTATTCTATATAAAAAATGCCCCTAAAGTTTTGTTATTCTGCAATGAACTTAGAAGTGATATTTGCAAATATTGACCTATCTGTTAATAAACTCTGCTGCCTGCAAGAATAAGGTGGAATAAAGAAAAAAAAACCTCTCCAAATTGTTGTCAAAATTTTGTTTTAATTGCAATTTTGCAGATAACTCCAGTGACAGATGAAAAGCAAACTGTTCTGTTAAGGAAATCTAGAAAAGATACTGTAAAAAAAGATGACTTGGCAAGTTCTATTTTTTTCAAGTTCTATTTTTTTTTAATTAACTTTTTAAAAATATCCTTTTCAGCTTTAAAATAGAAGAAGACTTATGATTTGAAGAATGGTTTCCTTTTGCAGCCACTCTGACTCTTCTCAAAGCAACATTGGACATCTAGAAGAAACCAGACTTATAGGACAGGCATCCTGCCTCTTAGAAGAGAACAGAAGATTTCCTCCTGATTTAACAATGCTAAAGTTTATCCTGCCTAATGTATTTACTCCGTAAAGAGAAAACTCACTTGAACAAAATATTTTATTTCTTATTTGGTCTTAAACCCACAAAGTTTATTACTGGAGCCTTATTACTTTCCCTGTTGTACTGGAAAGGCTGCTCTCTCTGCTGAAGGCTATGCTCTCCTGAAATCCTCAACCCTGTAATGAATCTGGCATCTGATAAGGCACAGAAACCCTCCTGTCAACTTTAAGACAAGGCAGATGGGACTCCTTACAATCAAGCAAAGGAGAGCCCCCTCTTTAGCATGAGTTCATTGAATTTGACATCTCCAGATCTAAAGAGTCTAGTTGACAGGGTCTAATTTTCTTGGTGGCGGATCCAAATTCTCTCAGTTGATGCCTTGCAAAACTGTAAGAAAGCACAAGCATGGCCACTTTTAAGAAGGGTGTTGCAAAATGTCTCTCCTTTTTATAAACTTTTACAACTGACTGATTTTATATTCTAGCTGAGGGGCAGCAAAAAAGTAGTTTTTTCCCTTTCTTACTGGGATGCTGAATGTTTCATTCTGTGGATAGCTCTGACACAATAGAGATGAGCATCAGATAAATAAAACCAAGGACATAACACTGGGCTGAAAATAGAAGACTAATTTAGCAAAGTGTATTATTAGAGTTGCCATTTTTGTAGCTGACCTCTTTGGAGAAAAACAATACTCTTTACATCTGCACAGGCTTAAAGATAAATACCCCTTTTTAATTAATTAAATTTAATTAAATCCAGGACCTTTGTCAGGGTATGCCAGTAAATGAGAATAAATCCTACTTTTAATAATGAAGGGTGCTCCTAAACCTGTTGCAAGCATACTGCTGACACTAATTAATACAGCTGTCCTACAATGTCAAGCTTGGGACGGGAATTGCAGGAAGGGGGATATTACAAGTGGGCAAGACTCCAGTTTAAAATTTTCAGTATCTATAAAGATAAAGATTCATATGAGAAGTTACAACTTTGGTTTTACTGTCAATTGTTTTGGGGAAAGGCAGGGTTATTTTTTGTTTTAATTGTATCTAATTGTTTTTGTTTATTTTCAATAACACATTGGTTGGAAGTTAGATTTGTATGGAGAGAAGAATCCCATGAACTACAGCCCATATTTATAGCTTTGAAGAGCAATTTCTCTGCTGCCCTGCGCTGCTGCAGCAGGATTATTATACCTGCATCAGCTGGTATTACACACTGATGAGTAACAGCTCTTTGGTGCATTAACCTTAACTCCAGGACATTCATGAAAACAATTTTGGGTTGTCAGATCCTACCAGAAGCATTACAACTGTAATCTATATTATAGCTGGTATTCAATATTTTATTAGAATGGAAGATGGTATATTTTATCACTCTAAAATGAATAATTTTTGCAATTCAATGTTTGAATCATTAAACAATGTTTCTATAAACAGAGATATATGTATCCAATAAAGATCATCAAACATGGAGCTCTATAGACACTCAAATATTTCAGTTTGGGGCATAAAATGTTTTAAAGCAATAAAACTGAAATCTATGCTCTTTTTCTTTTTCCTCAAGGGATTTTAAAGTTGTTTTTCCTTCCTGACTGCAAGTGTTTGAGGTTGAAAAGGTAACATTTGGTCAAGCCAAAGACAAAAAGCAGGTGAGCAGTCGTAGTTTTTCTTTTGAAGGAACAGTCTATTTAGAAGGAGCAATAAAAGCACCTGTTTTTTTTTTTTTTGCAATATAGGCTTCAGAAAGTTTTAAAAGGTTACTTAAAACCATTTTTTTAAGACTAGCACTTGTGGTCTCCATCACAGACATCCCCAGTTGCATCAAGCCATGTTAAGCCTTGATCTGAGAAGAGGAATTGACAACTTCTTGCACTGCCCTGCATCCCCCATGGTGTCATTTCTGTGTAAATCATAACAGTGCTCATGACACGTACGAGGTGCCTTGGGCTGAAAGGTGCTTGGAGTATCCTGTAATGTACAGCAAAACAACCCAGAGTATGGAAACAGCTGTTCTCTCTGGGAAGTCCTCAAGGAATCATGCCAGCTTTCTAGTAATTAATAACAATGGACCTTCTTTTTTTTTTCTTTTTTATTTTTCTTTTTTTTTTTTTTGCCTTTTTTACATAACTGTGGCTAGGGGAAAGACATTTCATAAGGAAGTGTGGACTTTTACACAGAGCAGCATCATATGAAGTTCTGGACTTTAACTGAGGCATTATTCTCTTTCTGAAATATTTTGCATCTGAAAGACAATGGTGCTGGAGTGCTGGTGCTAGTCACACAATTTACTGGTTATGTTTTATATTAATACAGTTCCTTTTTTTTTATTCACAGGAGCAACCAAGCTTCAAACTCATGGATTATGTGGGACCATTTGCATCAGTTTTTTAGTTTTCCAATAATTTTATTCATCAAAACTTAGGGGGAAAAAAAGCCATACTAACATTTAGAGGCTTTTTGGTTACAAGTTTGGGTTAAGCTACTACAAAATGGAATATTACTTAACTATCTGAAAGCTTCCAGGTTGACAAAATTAGTTCTGCAATATTGAGAAATACAGGGAATGTATTTCTATGTCAAAAATCCACAGGAATTGTAGATGATTCACAATGTCACAGGACTTGGATTGAAATTACATTACGAAAAGCAGAAGGGAAAAAGTGAGTTTTTTCACATCTACAGCTGCTGTAATATTATTGTGGAAAGAACTAGACATACAGAAGAAGATTGCTGAAAGACCACATGTTGAAGTCCCTTTTAAATTCATGCCACAATAGCTTCTGCCAAGACTCTCTTGGAAAGCAGCAGAAGTTCCCTATGGTGACCGCAAATAGGATGCAAGATGAAAAAAAATTATTTGATAATACCATGAGCAAAACATAAATAAAACTCAAATATGTTGTTTCTTTTATATGTCACAAGGTCTTTAATATTCACAGGAAGTTGCTTTGGCATTCAGGACTCTCATTTCCATTCAGGGGAAAGTGAAGAAATCAGAGCAATTTCATAAATAAAAATACTGTTCTATGTGAGGGAGAGGTGCAAGTGATGCATTCAAAAGGTCATCCAAAGTGGAGGTTAAGACCTTGAAAGTGAATGTGCCACAGACCTCTGTGAAGGTCAAATTCTGCTTATTATCCTGATTCACAGCTTCAAAGTTCAGAAACATAAACATCTAAATTCAGACATGCCTGCTTGACAATGATCTGCTTTCCAGAGGTCCTGGTGACCCAATTTAGCCAATACTACAAGGTAATAGTTTGCTCTGGTAAAGTATTTTTCTCTGTGTGTGGCATCTGTCTCATATTTGCTTGCTGAGGTGGTGACAGTGCCAGAAATTTCTCCTCTACCTATCCACAGATAATCCTTTAAAACATTGATACAATGGATTGTCTAAGACTTCCTTGAGTTGGTTTTCCAAAGGCTTAACAGATTTCATGGCATTTTGCACTGAAGACACTACCACTTATCTGTAGAAAACAGAAGAAAGCTGGGATGAACATTACACTTACAGTGTCTAAAAACTGATAGAGTGAGCAAAGAAATCAAGTTATTTTATATGTTAAGTATACATGCCAAAGTTGTGTATCAAATGGTATCAAAGATTTGGAATCCTAAATCACCTCCACCTGAAGGATGAAACTGCTGTAATTTGTATTTGGAAAAACCCAGTGAGATTAACTACTTGTGGATCTCATGGCCAGTAGCAGAGACAGCTTCATTATTTCATTCCTCAGGCTGTGAATTTCACTGTGTTTGCCTGAACACCTCAACAGCCCAGATCATATCCTTTCCATTTGCAGACTTTTTCCCTAGCAGAGAAAGCATTAAAACCTGAACCCTGGGAAGAGTCTTGCTCCTGGCTGTGAGTGGAAATGTGGGAGACAAGGTATCCATTGAGGCTGTTCTGCTCCTGGGACCCTCACTGGGGTGTTTGGGACAGAACCTCACAGTACAGCATCACACACTTCCCTTTCCTGGGTTGTTTCCTCTGTCTGATTGCCCCTCACAGAAAAGCAAAAGGTTTCTCTAGCTATTTTGTTATAAATGGCAGTTGAAAACTTATTTGATTATTTTATTTAGCAGTACAAATTTCTAATTATACACAACATGCCAGAGCTTTGCAGATACTGTGAGTAGTTTTGTTGGTTTGTTATCCTGCTTTTATTTTCTGTTGCTATCATTGCAGAATCACCCTTTCAGAGACTTTATCTGTCTTAATATGTATTGAAATTAAATGCTCTCAGTGTAAAATTTCCCTCTGGAACCAAAATACAAATTCATGCTGGTTACAGTGGAGGCAATTCCAGTGACTTCAGTGATCCTGTATGCATTTGTGGGAGCTCAAAATAAATCTGGCCCATTAACATCAGGAGCAATATAATTTTAATTTCTACAGAGCTGCTTTTCACCCAGATGTTTTTTGGGATGGTTTATATATTTGCTTATGGTCTAAATGTAATTGTACATGTTGCTGTGGTTTTGCTGTATAATCTTGGGCAAATCCACACTGATTCCCCAAGCTTTGTTTTGTTCTTTTTATTTCTTTACTGCGCAGGGTGGTGAAGAGAGAAATTGTTTTACAAATTGTGAATAATTCCTTGAGGGAGGTCATGCAAATTCTTTAAATATGTTATGACTTTTGTAACAGCAATGTATAATTTACACTAATGGTATGTATTACTAACCTCTTCCATACAGAAACACAACTAAATCCCACAGCATTCCACAATGGAACACAGCCGTGCTTTCAGATTAATGGAAATGTTATCAGTGTCAAACAATTACATTAATTCTATATATTTTGCCAGTTTATTTCAAAGATTAAGCAGAAGTGGTAGTGTGAGGCTAAATTGCTCTGGAACTTCAGGTGACTTTGCACCCAAGGTTGAAAACTGATTTAAACTTTGCAACTGCCCCTGCCTTAACAACCAGTCAAAGGGAAATGCCAGATCCGCTTTCACCTCTCCCCCCATACAATTGTACACCTCAGTACCAGGCAGGAAACTTGCAAGCATTTTTTAATTGTTTATGTGAGGAAATCTTGTCCAAAATATTTTTTCTCCTTCATGCATTATGCTTTTGGAACTCCTTAGTGTTTACATTGTCATCCTGAGCATGATATTCCAGAAGAATGATATCATTATTTATACTTTGCCTTCAGAAATCTGTTTAATATAATTGTGACTTTTTCAGTTTAAGGTAAACATCAGCATTTGATGAAAGCTCAGTCCTTTACCTCCTCCCTTGGTAGCTGTTTGTTAAGGTCTGCTATGGCGCAGCAGTCAAATTAAGAAAGTGGTGTTATTTCAACAAAGCCAGAGACCTTCTTTTGCTTGTAAATATTAGTACATCCTGCAAGCACTGGTGAGTGCTGCCAGCCATCCTGTCACTTAAACAGAGTCAAGACTGATGGAGGCCAAGTTTCTGTCAAGATCTGAAACTCAATGCATTAGCTCAGGAGCTCAGTGTAGGCATGCATACATTTTTATTTTCACATCTACTCTTTTTATGTCAACAAACTTTATGGGTGCTGGTTTCTGTCACACTCCAAAATAATTAACCATGAAAGAAACATTTTATTTAATGTTTTAAGAAGTCAGGATTTGGTAACAGACTAAAAAAAGCCAGATCACGAGCTGACATCACGTAAAACAGCCAAGTGGCAGGACATTTAATAGATGGGTGGCCCAGAAAGCCACAGAAAATGTATATATGTAACACCTAAATTAGGGCTATCATGAAGATTCAGATGTGTTACAGACACTCTTCCTTCACACAAAACAGGTAGGATGAAATACTGAAACCTCACGAATCAACAATAAGCAAATGGTGATTTACAAGTGTGTTACTGTGTACATACTGTTGTTAATGTAAGTGATGGTTCATAAATATGCTGCCAAGAATTGGTGGGTTTGATTAACTTTCTGTGATCAGGGTGAGCATGTTGATTTTGCTGTAAATAGCAAAAAAGAATTTTATAATATAAATCTGGACAAATTCCCTCTTTTAGGACTCCACTGTTTTCAGATATGTTCAGCTCACACAATACTTTTTCTCATGATATTCTACTCTCTTCTCAGTCCTCACTGTCCTCCTAACTTTTCTTCTTCCCTGCTCTTGGCTTTGCCCCTTGCACTACATCAAAAGAACTCTATCTCTCCATCTACAGAATATTTCATTTCTTCTCTTTGATCTCTGATGCTTTTCTTGTTGATTGCTTTGCTTGTCCTATTAATTGGGAGCTTTCTTTGCTGTCTATGCCTCCATACAAATTTAGCTAGCTGAAGAAAAAATAATTCTAGACATATAGATCCTTCAGGAATAATTCATAGAAATATCTGGTGGCCTATGGACTCAAAATCAGTTTAAATCCACAGTCTTGATTATTCCTCTATGTCTGTAACACCATGAAAATAAAAGGCCTGGATTAATCTAGACATTTTATTCTCATAAAAAGTATTTCTAAATCCAGAAAATACTAATTTTTTTTTTTTTATAGAATACCAGGCTCTTTGAAGTAAGCTTGTGGCTAAAAAATAAACCATTTTTGAACACACAGCACACCCCTACTCCAGAAGACGGTCAGCTGAATACCTGGCCTGGCTTGAATATTAGATTGCATTGAAAGAGGGAAAAAACTCCATTCATCTAATGAAAAACCATGTTTAAAAGGAAAGTGTTTTGATGATACAAGTTTTAGAACAGCTGCTGATGCTCTGAGGTTTGAATCACAGCAGCTTTGCTTATCTGGTGACATGCACAATATGGGCCAAATATCTCCAAACCACCAGGAAAGCCTGCCCTTACTTTTGATGTTTAATGCAACACAGATAAATAAATTTGGAAATAATACAATTGGAAAAACAATAGGGAACTGAAAATAGGGATTTTTTTGTTTCCCAAGTCCTTTAAACATGTATGCAGGGGGTTCTGCTCATGATGTTGGGAGTGACCCAGGAAAATTAGAGAGACCAGTCACATGTTAAAGTTGAGCACACGCAGAATTGTTTGCTAGAACAAGGCCTTAATAACAAAGACTAATAAAAAAATAATCCTCTCCCATATATGGAGAATTCCCCTGGGATCTGCGACTCCCAGCTATCCTTTTTAAATTGCATGATTAACAGTGTGCTTCTAATTACTAACTAATCAAATCAAGTCTTTCTGCACATAAATAGGAGTCTGGGACTTTTAATAAGGTCTTCACTGCATGATTGCTCATAGAATAGCAATTAGTTTGGTTTCTGCTCCCATTGATAAAAGTGGCAGTAGTGTGGAACAAAACTGATTGTGTACCCACCAGGTCATAAACAAAGTTTCTGGGAGGTGGCTTTGATGAGGTGAGGGGGAAGGACTTGAAGGCCTCCAATGAAGACATGGGCTTTTACTTTCATGTCATTCTTTGATTTGTCTTTTTTAATGGCATACCCAGATGTGATGCCTTCTGCTTTTATAAAGCTAAAGGAAGTATTTGCTTGACTGTTGTTATCAACAAGGCAAGAAATTGTGCCAGTGCCATTCAGTGAGTGGCTAGAATACATGTCAAGAGTTACAAAAAATATCCAAATGTTAAGTTTTTCCCTTATGCAATGAAACTATAATTCAGGAATATAACTATCATCAGATAGACTTTGGATAGTTTCCTCTATAGTCCATGTTTTTTTGACAGTCCAATTAATTTAAATTTGCAATGAAAAAACTTGGTTTTATCTGCAAGGAAAAAACAGAAAAAACAGAAAGAACACTTTTTTTTTTTTTTTTCCTTGTCCTATGCAGCTGATCTCCCTTGATTGAGAAAAAAACTTGAACAAAAGTTTGTTTAGCAAATTATTCTTACAAAAAAGCCTCAGATCAACAATCACTCCTCCTCAACAATCACTCTTTGGAAAAAAAAATAAGCCATCACTAAGCTACCCTGATTTTCTTATTTCACAAATGCTTCCTTGCTTTGTTTTTTTTTCTCCTCATCTTCCTATGACAAATATTCCACAGTAGGCAGATTCCTGACCTGTAATACCGAATGCTGCTAAAAGAAACATTGCTGTCAGATGCCCGCATCAAATCCAATAAGCCACATCCAGCTTCATGTTGACAGTTGCATTTTTTTCCTAATGCATATTTTAGCCATGCTTGACCATCAACCATATGGCAGGTTTGTCCTGTGGGTAAGTTTATTATTAACAGCTTGCAGCTGGAGGTACAATAACTACATGTAACTGTGACATTGCACTAATTGATCAAGACATCTCCAAAACAAGATGCAGAAAGTGGCCTCAGCAAAGAGCTTCAGAATAATGATTGGGGAACATTAAGCAAACAAACACCTCTGTCATGCACAAAGTATCTTAAAAGCTAGGGGGTTCAGTAAAAGGAATTAATTTCAAACAAGCATCTTTTGATGAGAAAAAGACATTATTTAAGCCTGCCCACCAGAAGCTCAGACAATTAAATCACTGAATCTGCTGGGTGCCTTTAGTCCATGCTTTCTCTTCTAATCCTGCTGTCATAGCAGAGAGTGACTGAGGTTTAAGAGCAGCATGTGTAACTTAATCCATCACTTCACATTAAGGTCAGAGTGTTAGATTTTTGATGAGAGGGAGGAAAAGTGACCTTATTAGGCATTAGGTAGAAGTTAGCTGGCTACTGTTCAGAGGTAACTAGTAAATAAACTGCAGAATGTGAGTTGCTTTCCTTATATATGTCTCCTGGTAAATTTATTTTTCAGATGTTTTTTGCCAAGCTTGATCAACTGATTTTGAATTGAATGGAACATATAATGAATTCAGTGGTTTAGTGTTGTATCTTTGTAAACTGAAGCTGTCAAACTTTAAAAAGTGCTCTCTAGTGTATAGTACTTGTCAAACAACCTGCAGACTTCAAGGTTTAAAAGAGAAAGCTCTCCAAACTCCTAACTTAATGAAGTTTAAGCAGGAATGTAAATTGTGTGTGAGGAAGAAAATATGATGACTCCATGCAAAGTATCAGATAACTAGCACTAGGCTTCAACTGGAGCAAAAATTAAAATTTCTTTTTTGGCGTGTCAAGGCTGCAAAGCGTATTTTGCAAATTCCTTGTCAGTTAAGCTGATTGGAGAAAGCATGAACAAAACAGTCTCACTTGGTGCTCTCTTGGCTTAATGCTCGGAGGGAGGTGAACTGTAATGACAGCATGGTGAGTTTTTCATGAAGAGCATTTTGTGCACTGTGTCTAGGTCTTCACAAATGCTGACAAAATAGACTTCAGTTTGCACTTTGTGATCCACTGTTTGCAGATCCATGGCAAACACATTGTACAAGCAAGGCTTATGGTTTGTGCACAAGCTGATCCCTGTGAGTAGGCACCTGGCTATTTCTGTTTGCAGTAGAATAGGTGAATTTAATCACATGGTGTCTTTTTCCTTCTCTATTTGTATGATATAACTCCTGTGAACAGCTGGAGGGCTGACTTGTTGGTTGTAATTCTCCTGCAGAACAATGGGAGAGCCTGAATTTTGGTATGGTCTTCCTGAAATTAAATTTCTGTGAGGAACATCTCAGTTTGAAAGGGTCATCACTGATCTTAACAGAAGGGTGTAGCATAAGAATGCCTGCTCCCGAAAGAAGTTTCCAATGCAGATTATGATTTTCCCATAAAGTACCTCTAAAGCTTTTCTGTGCAGACATCTTCTAAGGGAAGGTGAATTATGAACATGATTAAATTGCACACTGGATGTTATAGATGTTATATAAGTAGAAGACGTCAGGATGATAATTTATTATTATTAATAATAATAATTTTCCCCTAGCAGAAAGTGATTGTGTGATCCAGCAGCTGTGAATCTTAGTTGATTTTGGTCTATAGGTGCTTTTCAGCCTTGGGTGCCTCACTAGGGGCTGTGTGTACATCTTTGAATTAGTAAATATCCAAGTCTAATGGAAGACATCTGAGATTTTGTATGCAGTTAGTTTGCTAACATCCTTGCATACACTATTTTTGTCTCATGAACTTACACTAGGTCTGCACAAGCTTAGCTGGTGAAATGTTTTTTCTTTAAAACCAGAGAAAATATTTCACAGGAGGAGATAGACAAATCTCTAATCCATATAATACCAGTCAACAGTCTCACGAAAGACAGGGCAAGGAAAATTCTTATGTATTTTTCTGCATGGGAGGAATAAAGTGCAATATCAAGCTTTTCGTGTAAGTATTTTATTTTACTGCATTGATTTCATATTGAAGAGGTATATTACACAAGATGTGTCATCACCTACTAAAATACATGCTTGAATTTGGATATTCTGGTGGGAGATTTGCAATGCGAAACTTCATGAAGCTGGGATTTTGCAGGGAAGAAGATTGACTCAACTGCTGCACTTGCCAGAGCCTCTGAAACACACAGGTTAGCACTGTATAGATGCAGTCCTTGTTACTGCATCCACTCATAATGTGGGAGTGGACCTTGCTGTCACAGCGACATTTAATACAGCTCATAGTGGGTGTCTGAGCACTGTGAGCAGAGCAGGGATTGTCCCCCAGGACCAGGATCAGAACCCAATAGCCACAAACAATTTCTGGCCTTTCTACCTGTCTCTGAATGATCCTATTAAGGTTTTTAGTGCATTATCTGGTTTAAGGTGGCATATTATATAATTTAAGGGGCAATACATCATTCTGTAGGCTTCTCTTGTGCCATGCCATAAACCACAAAAGCTCCAAGGCCAAACACAAGTCAGGGGTTTTGGAATGACCCACATCCAAGATATTAATTTCCCCATGGAGGTTGGGGAGCTGAGAGGGAGCCTCTGCCATCAGCTGCCAGTGACACACGCAGCTTCTGCTGTGCTTTTCGCAGGGATTGGCCCCAGGGTATCCTGTATGTGAATATACACGGCTGGAAATTCCCTTATGAAGTTGCCTTCAGTCAGGTGATTACCAAGTCACATAGTTTCCAGTAGGTTTAGCAGGAGCTTGTGCTCAGCTCAGTCTTTCTGGCTTGCAGCTGCTTTGGGTTATATTTGATAAGCGGCCATCCAAGTGTCAGGTTTTCTGGGAGGTGGGGTGGAATGACTGTCATGCACAGGTGTTTTCCAAGAAAGTTGTTTGCTCACTACTAGCATGCTTTGTGACCCTGCTGCCTGCAGTTGTAGATACTAGTGGAGATACTCTCCAAACTGCTTTTATAATAAAAATACCATTCTTAGGTTTTTTTCCTGGTAAATTAACAGGTAAATTCACCCAGAACTTCTTGTGTGGTCAGAGACCTACCCTAAGATTTCTGCAAATCTTTGGATTTCCTTGTGCCTAACTCTCACAGGCTGATGATGAACACATGCATCCTGAAGGTGCTCCAAGCTACTAAGGAAGACATGTAGCTTGGCCACAGGCCAGCTTGGTCACCATCTGCTGCATGATGCCCCAGCCTTGACCACTGTCTCAGATGCCTTAGGAGCCTCACTGTACAGCATCACTAGACAGACAAATGCATTTTTACTATAATTGTTATTCTACTTCTATTGGGCTGAGATATTGGTAGTCCTTTCATTCTGGTGCATTTTCCCCACTGATAAGAAAAAAACAAAATATTCACCAATGCGACAAGTTATTACACTGATCATCTCCAGCAGCCCTTTGACAGAAGGATGCTCACACCTCTGTAGCTGCCAGTGTCAATGTCCCACCTCTGCTTTGAAAGCCTTCAGTGGGATACAGATGTTCTAAGAAAGAACATTGTTCTGGCAAAGTGTCTATGGGCTTGAGAGCAGAGTTTGATAGGAAAACAAGATAGCGTAACATCACGACGTGGCTCCGGGATTTTGTTTGTCCCTCCTGCATTCTGTGTCAGGCTAGGTGAGATGTACAGAGCCAGATGAAACCCTGGAGACAAGTCATCTTCCTGGGACATATTCCACTTTTTTCTCCATTTCTCAATTTTCCTAGAGTGCTGCCTGAAGTGACTGCAGTTATTACAGTTAGAGTTTTGTCATCAGCCCTGCAGTTTCATCTTTTACATCTTAAATTCTTGTAGCATCTGTAAAACCACGGGATAATGTATTGACACAGAAACCACTGTGTACCACTTTACTGAAAAATACTCTGGCACTGAGTAGAGAATGACTAGGATCTGTAAACTAATGTGGAACAGCCCATAGTGTGACTTCATTAAACCCTACAGGATGGATTTGAAGAGGTAGAAAAGATTTTCATAGATTTTCTATAAAATTTGAAGAATTTATCATGAATTAATACCATGAGAGGGTACACAGAGACATCTGAAACTTCAGGTTGTATCCAACAAATCCAAATACAGTAGTCTGTGCAGTTTTAGTTGCTCAGAACCAATTGACTCTTGTGCAAGTTACCCTTACCCTTACAGAACAGATGTGGTGAGGGAAATGGAGGCTGTATAGGTATTATTATCTAGCATCCAGTCACCAAATAATGGCATATTCAGAAATCTGGGGATCTGTTTGTAACTGCCTTTGAAGATCTCTGAGGTGAGAGGGAGATGGTGGTTCCTTTGAGCTGTGTATCAGCACATCTGAACTGCACACAGTATATTATCTAAAATACATAATGAGTTATTTCCTAGCTTGCTCTTCCTGAGCATCCAGTGAGGTCAAGATTTATAAAGAAAACAACATAAAATATAATTCACACACACACACAAAATTTTATTTGATTCCCCCTCAATATAGTGCATTACTCTTTCTCCCTTTTTTCTCTCAAGAAAAAAATCTCCATAATTAGGTGTGAATGGATTTTATTTTTAAAGAAACCCTCAAAGTGTAGCTAAAGAGTCTCAATAAAAAGATTTCATCAGCTTTGTTACACTAAAAGCAGCTTGTGCTTTGGCCTTTAAATGCCAGAGCCAAGTTTTAGAGCTTTAGGAAATGGTGCATAAACAGTCTGGCATGATGCTCTGTAACATGATGAAGAAAGGACTTCTATGGCTCACTGCAAAAATCACAGATAACAATCACTTTCCCTATCACTAATGTGTTATGACTGTATGAAAGATATGCAGATACATGGAAAACTGTACTTCCATCTACACCACTGTACACATGATGTAGCAGGTAGACAATGAATGGTTTGATCCTGCCTAGGTGAGCAATTCATATCTGGCTACACTGGGAATACTATTTAAGGTGTGGATTGGAGCCAGGAGTTATGTATATATGCTTTCAAGTCCTTTGCAGAGCAGAAAATAGCAACCAAAATAACCTATGCTCATTACAGAGAAAGTGCCATGAGGCAATGTCTTGTCTGCTTGTGGTTAAATATGCCACTGCTGCTATTACTACTGTTATTTTTCAGGAAGGCTAAGCATGACTAAAACCTGAGCGTCACAAAGTTAAGATGCAAAAGGGCCAATTACGCAATGATCCTTTCAACCAGAAAAAACACCTCCGAGTTTTTTGGAGGCTTGAGTTTTTTTCTGGTGGGTTGTTTTTTTGGTTTTTTTTTTTTTTTTGGCTTTTTTTTTTTTTGGTTTCTTTCCTTAGTGAAATTTTTAAAGCAAAGGAAATATCCATCAAATTATTTGGTTTACCTTGAGGCATTTGACTTCTCCTTATATGATGGGATCACAGGCTTTTCCTTTAAAATAAAAATTAAATTGTAAGTAGTTGAGGGAAAAAAATTACTTTGTGTACACTCCATTGAATTCTGTGGGCACTGAGCACACACCCATTCTCCTTATACAAACAGAAGAACTTTTCTGCCATATCAGACCGGCCTAGCCTAGAGCTTGCAACAACAGCAGGTCTTTCAGCCGCCTGTGTGACTTAAGTAAAATTGCCTTTTAAAAAAATACACTTTCCCCCTCCCTTTTCCTTCTCAGGATTTGAACTATTCTGCCCCTTTTTTACATGTCACCACCGTGCTGTTATGCATCCCACCTCCCACCAGCAACACCAAGCCCTCCATGCAAGTGACTAATGAAAATCCCAGACTCCTTCCTTAGTGGTTATCAGATTCATATTTCTCTCAGTTAGAATATTATTCTAAACTTAAAAATTCAGCGTCAAGCTTTGCTTTTGGGTTTTTTGCTGGCAGTTTTATAGCTTGACCAAACTTTACGTTGGATAGTGTTTTGGTTGGCTGCCATATTGATCCTGGCTGTTAATCAGGATTTTTGTTGTTTTGGACTAGGGGCAAGGTGGAAGGAGTGGTTGTGGTTTTGCTCTGTGAACAGAAGTGGCCATGCTTACTGTCACGGGCAAGTGTCTGTACTTTGTAATTACAAATTCCTTACATGACGTGTTACATTTCAAAGTGGAGTTGGACTTGGGGGTGAAGCCTACACTGATAAACAAGAACTGCCCACCCCGCCCCCACTTTAGTCTGTCACAAGCTATTTTTAATGATGCTACTATTTATTCCAAAACAATGTTTTTCTATGCTTTTAATAGTAAAGCAGAAAAAAAAATTAATTCATTTTCTATTTCTGTGGGTTTGCTGGATGAATTTCTAATTAGTTGTAGACTGGAAGAATTCAAGGTCTAAGTTTATTAGTCAACAAATAAAGCCATGGCATCAATTTAAGGAGAAGCCTTCCTATTGAACACAAATACATGAGGGGTACAGGGAAAGCTTTCCTAAATTTCCTACCTGCGTTACTGTGTCTTCTGTGAAGCAGCACTATACACCCTTTTATCTCCAGGTGTTAGCTGAATACAGATATATTTGATTAATCATACTGCCTTTTACTCTAACCCCAAGAAAGTCCAACATGCCTCTGTCCTGTATTTCTGAGACTTCTCCCCCATATGTTCTCTGGTGCTGATTGAGGATCTTCACCAAGTCAGGAAATTCCAGTGCCAAAGGGAGAGGCAGAGAGACCAAAAAAGCCAAACATGCAGCTCCCAGCAAGCCACTCCAGTGCACACTCTGGTGCAGAGATTTGGATGCATTGGTGTGTGGGGTGTATTGGCATTTATTTTTGTCCACCTCACTGCCTTTTGACAAGGCTTTTGTATGTATCCCCCACAGTGCAGGGAATTGGGGGTTTTGCCATGTTGAGGGGCAGGAGCTGGGAAGAGTCAGGGAAGCAGCAGAGCTGGGATGGAGTCCCTGAGGTGGGACAGCCAGGCTGAGATATCAAGAGAGATGTGAGGGGATAATATCTTCTACTGGCAAGTGAATGGTCCCCTTCTTCTATGGGCCTGCAGGTAACCACTTATGC